TCATTTATCTATTTGTGTCTATTTATATATATATATATAAAACTCAAAACTATACTAAAAATATCTGCAAATTTAGAAGATAAACGAGAAAAACAAAACTCCATTACAATAATGTATTACAAAACACAATAGTTAAAAAATAGTTTCAGTTTGAAAGATTTTTAGAAAGACTTTAAAAGAGTTATGCCACTGTTGTTGTTGTCACTTTTTGTTCTTTTGTGCGTGTTGTGGACCTTTCCATCCTTAATTATTCGGAGTAAATCACCAGTATGCCCACCGTTAACCTCTCATTAGTATTCGTGTCTGGATAGTTGTTGTGTGAGAAGAAAGCTACTCCTACTAACTCCTTTTTTCATTGTTAAAAATGAATAAATCCTTTGTTGGTTGTGAATATTACAATTGTTTATTGCAGATAATCATAAACTTTTTCTCAAGTGAGGAATTGTGCTCATTGGTGCTTGCAAACAAGGGCTGGCTATTTTGACATTCTTTTAATGAGCTCATATTTTGTGTGTGCCCACAGCACAACTAACTATCTACAAGAATATCCATCCTGTTTATATCCTCCTCTAAATTGTCTCAGCTGAGCAGAGATCAACACAAACCCAGTAATTACCTGGTGCATTATGTAATCCTCTCTCGCTGTTTTTATACAGGCTTCTTGCTACTGAGGGTCTATAGAGAAGTTAACATCATACCAGAGCTCTCATTAATACTTGCATAGAATAAATGGTTTTTTTTTTTATCCCCTTTGTGTGACGTTTACTGTAAATCTGAGGCTCTTCAAGAGGTGTTGATGCTGGTTTATATTAAAGTCTGGTCAGCGATGAGCTGATTAAAACTGATAAATAGATGAAGCTGGTCTCTGACTTTTCTCCCAGATTTCACACCAGCTCACTTCTGAGTGCATCAGAAAGAAAAACAGACGAGGAAAGTTTTCCTGCTCATGTTTAAAAACAGAGTTTAAGACTTCGCTGGCACCAGATATGAAGATGTTTGGAACAAAAAAACACAAGCAAACCTGAAGTGCATACGTTTTTTTTTTTTTCCTGAATAAGAGCACTATCAGACTTTGAGGGTCCTTCCAGCATGTTGCTCTGAATAAATGTATTAGAAGAGGTGAGGTGAGTTAAAACTATGGAGGACTGTGGAGATGGTGGCTAATGAACCAGCAGCACCTCTCTTCCACGTCTGGGATGTGATTCTCACACATATATAATTTTTAATGGATTTTTTGTCCCTTCTGTTTCTAAAGTAGTATTCTTAACAAAACTGGCTCCTAGTGGTCCTTGTGTGTAAACTGCAGCTAGACTGAAAAAGAAAAATCCTTAAACCACAATTTCTGCATCCATTCATTCTCTAATCCACACCGTTCTGATTGGCAGAGCAGAAAAGTCACAAACACGGTGTAAGAAACTTACTGTGATGGTGGATTTGCCGGCATATTTACCGTACTTCAGCAGCAAAGGTTTTATCATTCTCTTCTGGGCCACGATCTGCAAAGAGAGCAAAGCAAGCCCAGAGTTTGGCCTTAAGGCCTCTGCAGTGAAGAGGAGTGATCAGGGATCTGAGTCATCATCAGCAGCATTTGTTATCAATCACTAACTCTAGACCTGTGAGAAACTTACTTTCACAGGCAAACTGACACAGGCTTTTCAGCTCATGTACTTCAGTGCATTTGTATTAAACTAACATCATAATTGGCTGGAAAAGAAGTAGCATCTGCCTACCTGACCGAGCGTGCACTCCATGCCTCCCAGGAAGTCATCGTCGCGGGTCCCTATGCTGTGAGTGCCGTGGATGTCGTACACCTCAAATCGCAGCTTCTGTACCTCCTCAAAGTAGTAATCCAGACAGAAAACCTTCCCAAAGAGTGGATGCAAGTTGCTCTTGATCACTTCTGTCCTGTCCAACTGAGGGAGGGGGCACAACTCGATGAGACTTTGAACCTTCGCCCACTTCCAACAAATATATTTAAGCATTCCAACATTCTGTAACATAATCATGGTTTTATCATCAAAGCACTAGTTGTCTGTGAGGAAATGAAACCAATTTAAAACCAATTTCACAGACTGTTTGTTACATCACTCTCCAGTTTAACTCAGAAAAGAATTGCAAAATATTCATCTTCCTGCTTATTTTGAGTATACAGAAAGGGCATATGTTATTATGCTCCATCCAGAGGGCAACGTGGGAGATGATTGGAGGGCTCTGACATTTAATCTTGGCTAGATAAACCACCCATGCTCGTCTTTGAGTCTGCCTGACGAGAAAAGGCTGAGTTCTTTGAGACCCTGTGCGTTTGTGATGTTGGATTTAGCGCTCACGCAGCTCCACCATCAGTGTTGATGCAGGTTTAGAGGTTGAACCCTTTATAAATGTCCAAATATTTTCAGCACAAAGACATACATTTGTGTCCAAATACCAAATCTGCAAAAACGGTGAGCCAATAAAGGGAAAAGTGTCGATCAAGAGACATAATCAGGAACTCAAATGGCAGAAAATGGGGAAACAGAGAGCCTGTTATCTAAACTGTCACTTCAGTTTCTATCAGATATTTCAGACTCATTTCTGTGTCTCTGAAGCAGGTCCAGACATTTTCTGCTATCATGACTTCAGAACTGGGAGACATTGCCCTCTTGTTTCTCATTTCTCGCTTTGGTAGACAAAAGATCGCCTGTTGATTCTCTGAGATTTTAACAGCAGCTGAACATTTCCTGTTAGTCTTTAAAACTCTGTTAGAGAGATCATTCCAAAACTGCCTTTGCTCATATTGTCATTTTAAGGCCAGAGATCTAAAATATCTTCAACATCCCAGGTCAACGTAAGAAATGCAGTTAAGAAATTCCCTGTAAATGTGTTTTGAAGAGATTTTCTTCTGAAAAGACCAGTTCGTTTCACTGATTATGCTTTTATCGTTTTGTTTAAAAAGTGAAAACAACTAAACTACAAAACCGGGTTTCACATTTTGGTTTCTGTTTTAAATTATGTTTGAAAACAAAATGTTTTTTTTATGGAAAACATTCAAAAATAAATTACTTTTAGGCTTCTGGGAACTTTTGAAAAGCTATTTTGGGAAAACCAGCAACTGATGAGGTTGAGACTGAACTAAACATTTTGAAGTAGCTGCACCAAATATAACCTTAGTACCTGAAAGGAAAGGAAAACGTATCGTTATGAAGAGAATAAATGAGTTGGCATGCTTTTGCAATGACAAGTTGAGCATGAAAATGTTCATTGGCTCATGGGAAAATAAAATGATTGTCACTGTTTTATAATTTTCCAGTCATGAATCAAATTATTTGCAAGAATTGATTTCCACGCAGTGGAACGTTGCTTAATACCACCACCCGACAGCAGTAAAGTCTCCTGTTTGAATCTCACCTGAGTCTTTTCTATGGTTGTTTGTTTGTTTCCCGGAAACTCCCGTGAATTCCTTCCACAGTCCAAAATAATTCATGTTGGGTTAATCAGAGATTCTAATTTGACCTTAGCAGGAAGTCTGATTGCTTGTTTGTCTCTGCAACGAACTAACCACCTGTCCAGGGTGTACACTTAACAAAGTGGGTGCTGAAAATTGATGGATGAATGGATGAATAAATAGATGGGTGGATGACGAAGCATCTTTTGCTCACAACAGTTCTGCTGATTTGTGGATATAAAGGATTTGTTTGTAGGACAATGCCAATGACTCAGAACGACTGTATTTACTTGTGCTGATCCACCCCTACGAAGAGAACAAAATAACTAAATGCCTCCCTCTTCGATGGGAACCTGCACTTTGTTCTATAACCAGTGCTACACTGAACAACCAGAAATATCCCACTGCCATTGTTTAACACGTTTCATACATTGTTGTATAGTTTTGTTTAGAAGTTTGTTCAAATGTTGACCTAAAATCTTCACCCACCGATGGATTTGGTTAAATTATACAGTAAAAATATGTTAGTTTATCAGTCACAATTATCATTGTTGTTTTCTTCTATTATTATTTCACTTTTAAACATTTTACATGCATGACATTAACTGCTCAGGGTCTGTGGTAGCTTGCTGGACAGTGCAGCCATCTTGTAACCCTGAGGCTGACGGTTCGAGCCCAGGTTGCCAGGCGGGAGTAAGACAACTGCCAAATCTTTCTTGTGAGTTTGTTTTCTGTGGCAACCCCTGCAGAAGGGTGCAGCCAAAAGATAAAATATAACCGCTCAGCATTCATTTGTGCTTACTAAATGCTCTGCTGGATTTATTTGTTTCATCTAAAAGAAGTCATGCTCAGTGTTGAAAATAAGTTGGGTTTTTTTAACCATTCATCATTCTTGACAAACGCCACACTGTGCAGGCGAACACTGCAAAGAAACAAATGAACAACAGGCCTCATTTACGCTCGCTTTCTCCTGATTGTCTTTTCCTGCAATCTCTCTCGCTCTTCATGCCATCTGGATGCACAGATTTGGGATGAGTCTGTTTATTGATGAAAGATAATCAGACTCATCTAGGAAAGATTGTGATGAAGCCTGCGACACCTGCTTATTTGCTGGTGTGTGGCCAGAATATTAAGGCGACGTAAGAAATGTGGCATAATTGTTGGCTTCTGCAGGTGGACCCAGCGTTTTGTTTGGAGCATTATGGATTATTAACACATATATATATACATATATATATATATATATATATATAT